AGCTCTAATAAGCTCTCCATGTGCTTTACTTCTACAAAGAGCTTCCAAATCCATTTAATCAGCCACAACCTGAAAGGTATTATTATCCCCATTTTTCAGATGGGGACAGTGAGTTTCAGTAACAACCAGTGATTTGCTCAAGATCACCGATTCAGTTAACAAAAGAGCCAACTCCATGCCCAGGTTTTCAAAATTTCAGATGCTGGGGGAAGAGAAGTTCAAAGGAACAGCTCAAGAGAACAAAATTTCAACATCTGTTTGGACAGTCACAATTTTGTGACTTTGGGTAAATCAGCTCACCAAAATGGGTTAGACCAGACAATCGTTACAACTCTGTATTACCTTAATATTCTAAAAGCTCTAGGGATCTCTAATTACTGCTTTTGCATATGTTCACTCTGGTCCTTGTACTTGACTCTTGACAGTTTCCAAAGTTAGGTAGGTTCTTTGGGTTTCCGCTCCATTTTCTCCTATGTCCGACAGGATCCCAGTACCTCTATCTGCCCCCACACAGGCCAAAACATTCACTATAGGCCAAAAAGTCTACTCACACTTAAGAGTTTCTGAGTCTGGGTGGGAAAAGCAAAGGAGGCAGAGCCTTTCCTCTGCTTGGGGATTCTCAGAACCCTGTAATTAAAAGGTTAAACCGAATTCATCCTTCCTTAATTCAAAAATTGAATTTGAGGGGCACCTGCGTGGCTCAGTTGGTTAAGCGACTGCCTTGGGCTCAGGTCATGATCCCAGAGTCCCACAACTGAGTTCCGGATCAGGCTCCCTGCTCAGCAGGGAGTCTGCTTCTCCCTCTAAACCTCTCCCCTCTCACGTTCTTACTCACTCACTCTCTCAAATAAATAAATAAAATCTTTTAAAAAATTGGATTTGAAATAGATTGGAAGTTGCTTCAATAATCATCCTTATTATTATAGATTTAATAAATTATAGAGATTTCAGGAAACACTTGCTGAATGGGAAGCTCTGCCCACTTTGGGAAAATAAGTTCGGGAACATCACACTCATGCATCAGATGATATAGGACAGTTACATGAGTATATCCACTTGTGTTGAAAAGTGAATGCTTGGGTCAAGAGAGGTCTGTCCTTGGTTGATTTGAACATGACAAATCTATTTTTTATAGAGTTAAAAATGTCTTTTTCTTTAGTTGTCTCCACAAAACTCTAACCAATAATTCATGGAATTTCTGGCCCCCCAAGAGAGATACTATGTCACGTTAGATACAAACTCATAAAAAATTTAGGTGATAGATAAAAACCAATTGCAACATTATCCCTTCTCTCTCTTTCCTCTCTCTCTCTTTCCAAGCTGAAGAGAAATTTTAGTAGCAGGTCTTGAATGCAGTATAAAAAACAAATTGCTTTGTAGTACTTAATCTACATCTGTTTGTTTTGTTGTCTTTTATTCTGTAGCACTGGAGGAGCAAACAGAAGGCCCAAATGTGCTCAGGATTCAGAGTTGAGTTTAGACACCATTCTAGACACTAGAATTAGCATGAAAAAAATTTTCATTGTATCCATAAAAAGGAATGTAACCCAGAACTTGAGGAGGAATTTTTTTTTGAATAATCATTTGGTATGGTCCTATGCCTCTAAGCAAAACAGAATTCAATCTTCCTAAAAGAGATGAATATGTCTCATGTACCTAGGGATGGAAAATTCATCTTCCTATTGCTTAATAATGCAGTGTCTAGAAAGGCAATATGCTTACAGAAAGCAAATAGGGCTTGCATTCCTAAAAGACAGGCTCCAGCTTGGCTACAACTTTTACAAACTAGCTGTATCGACTTAACAGTCACTTAACCCCTCTGAGCCTCATTTCCTTTATCTTCATTACAGAATTTTCATTCAGATTTTTACTGAATCTTCATAACAATTAAAAAATTGTTTTTAATTTGCGGGGGGGCTTTTTAAAAGCCCTAATGAGGGACACCTGGGTAGCTCAGTGGGTTAAGCGTCTGCCTTCGGCTCAGGTCACAATCCCAGGGTCCCGAAATCGAGTCCCCCCTCAGGCTCTTTGCTCAGTGGGGACCCTGCCTCTCCCTCTCCCTCTGCCTGCTACTCCCCTGCTTGTGTGTGTGTGTGTGCTCTCTCTCTCTCTCTCCAACAAATAAATAAGTAAAATCTTTAAAAAAAAAATTAAATAGGGACACCTGGGTGGCTCAGTTGGTTAAGTGTTTGCCTTTGGCTCAGGTCAGGATCCCAGGGTCTTGGAATCGAGTTCTGCATCGGGCTCCTTGCTCAGAGGGGAGCCTGCTTCTCCCTCTGCCTGCAGCTCTGCCTACTTGTGCACTCTCTCTCTCTCTCTGACAAATAGATAAATAAAATCTTTAAAAAATAATAAAATAAAATAAAATCCTTAATGAATTAATAAAGGTGGGCCTTGAACATCAATAGCTGATAAATCAGACACACACACAAAAAAAATATCCAGATTATGAATTTTCAAGGAAAAAGAAACCTGATCCTAATGAAGCCTCAAGATCTAACAACCAATCTATAGGAAAAACAGTAGACAGAAGACCGTATTAAGTCATACGACAGGGATACAATCAATAAAACTCAGACTATGGGAAACATTATAAGACAGACAACCCAGTACCTCTGACAACAGTAACAACAACAGCAACAAATAGCAAGTAAAAACAAAAAGACAGAAAAATAGGAAGAAAATATACACCGGAAGATAATTAAGGGACATACACAAATCTGATCTGGATTCTGATTCACACAACTGTGAGAAAAAACTTGTGGAGCCTTCAGTTTCCACTCAGGGACAGAAAGCTACATAGAACATACATTCGCACTTACAACCACCACCCAGAAAATACAATAGAAATAGCCAGACCACTAGAAATTCATGATTTTTTTTCAAATCATGGAAACTGAGGTCTCAGGGCCACCAATGGGTCCAAAACACAAGAAGAGGCAGATACCTATAAGGAGAGAAGAGACGTGGCCATTCATTTACCTGAGGTAAATACCACTGGATGGACACCTGTGAGAGAGTTCAGTTAATATAATAACAGCAAATCAAATCAAACATTATATAAAAAGAATAGTACCTCACAACCAAGGAGGGTTTATCCCAGGAATACTGATTTGAAAATCGATCAACATAATTCACAATGGTAACAGAAAAAAAGAAAAAGAAACATCATGCTTAATGGCAAAAAACTGAACGCTTTTCCACTGAGATCAAGCGAGGGATGTCCTTTCTCACCACTCCTATTCAACACCAACTGGATGCGTCACACTGGGCACATTCCAGGCAACACAATAAAACAACAAAAGAAAATCAAAGGCTTACAAATTGAAGAAGAAGAAAGAAAATGGTCTCCATTCATATTATGACATGATTGTCTACATAGAAAAATCACAAAATATACACCAAAAATACCTCCTAGAACTAGTATATGAGTTTGGCACCTTTGCAGGATACAAAGTCAATTTTGCATATTGGCAATGACAAATCAGAATTCAAATTGTTTAAAAATAACATTTATAATAGCCCTCCAAAAATGAAATTTAGTTTCATATATGTCATTCATGGTATATATATAACAGAATATAAGCAAGATCTGTATGGTGAAAACTATGAAACAATGAAGAAAAAAACAAGAAAGATCCAAAATTATCACATTCATAGATGGAAGACACAGAATTATTAAATTGCCAGTTCTTCCCAATATGATCTATAGATTCAACAGAAAATCACTGGTATACATTAACCTTCTATACTGCTTTTGAAATTCTTCTGTTAAGTTTAAAATTATCTCAAAAGCCATTAAAATTTGTAATTAAGGAATTACTATAAATTTGCTTCTAGATGAGATGAAGGTATTGGGGTTATGTTTTAAAAATCCCTATCTCTTAGAGACATAGGTTTAAATTTTAAATAATCAGAAACTCTCTAAATGCAGCCACCATAGAATTGCTTGTTTCAGATAAGAATCACGGATGCTAAAATTAGTGAGTGAAAGTATTATGAGAAACAAGATATTTGTATTGTCTCAAATATCTCCCCACAAGATACTTATTAAATGTAAAGAGAATGATAGTCACTTTACAGTTAAGTAATGTGGCAAACATCTTAAGCAGGTACCTCCTGATACGATACACAGAGAAGGACACGGTACCATTACTGAGTACTCCTGCCAAAAATCCATAACCTGAATCTTAATCATCCAAGAGCATTACATAAACCCATACTGAGGGAAAGTCCACAAATGACTGGCCTGTACCCTTCAAAAATATGGAAATCATGAAACACAGAGATGGACTGAATCACTGTTCCAGATGAAAGAAGACAAATGATATGGGATCCAAATGCAACATGTGATCTTGGGTCAGAGCCTGGATCTGAAAAAAAAATTCTCTTTGCTGTGAAGGACATTAACGAGGCAACTGGCAACATTTAAATAAGCTTTTAGACTGGCTAATAGTATTGTGTTATTTTTAATTTCTTGATTTTGATCACTGTACAATGATTATGTTTTTCAAGAATCACATAATGAACTATTTGGAGAAAAGGGGGACATCATATCTTCAATTTACTCTCAAACAGTTCAAAAAGAAAATTATATATACATACATAATATATAAATACACATAGAGAAATATTAGAGAATATTTACTGTATTTATATTGTATATGTTTTATTTATATATTTATGTATAAAGAGAAGATGATAAAGCAAAAATGTTACAATGTTATCACTTAGGTAACTTATGTAAGGGGTACACAGGAATTTTTGGCACTATTTTTGTAACTTTTCTAAAAGTCCCAAAATAAAAGGTTTTAAAAATCAACAAGAGATAATAATAACATCTTGAGTCCATGGACTCCCCTATTTCCAACGAGTTTTCATCTCTCCCAGAAGCAAACAGACTCCACGTCTTTCGTCCATTAGACCATCTCAGCCACCGGACTTAAAACAACACAAATTTAGACTCAGCAGCCACTGCACAGACCTCTAGCCTTTGCTAGCTTGTGCGCCTCGCTCCACTTCCTCTGCAACCATTTCTGACAAACCCAATATGGCTAAGATTGAGAGATTCGATAAATCAGAATTGAAGAAGACAGAAACACAGGACAGAAATCCACTGCCTTCAAAAGAAACGATTGAACAGAAGCAAGCAGGTAAATCCTAACACGGAGTGCACCACCACTGTGCACTATACATTCCACAAGCATTGCCTTATTTTACTTTTCTTAGCTGTTTAACTTTATTAGATGCAAAGAGATTGGATCAAGCTTAAATGACTGCGCTGCCCCTTTTCACATCAAAGAACCACTGACAGCGAAGGCCGTGCCTGCCTTTCCCATCTGCCTGTCTGGCTGGCAGGGGAGGAAAAGAACTTGCATGCTGGTGAAGGAAGAAACTAGATGCGACAACAGTGAAATGTTGAGTAAAAATCAAGCTGGTCCAAGGTGCCCTGCAGGCTATAAAATGTGGTTTAATGAGAGTGCCCCTTTTCGGTTAAAATGATTTTAATTATTGGAATGCACAATTTTTTTTCACATGCAAATAAAAAGTTTTGAAGTGAAAAAAAAAAAAAGAACAAAAACCCCACAAACTTACTGTCTTACAGATCTGCAGGTCAGATGTCCAAAATGACCTTTAGTGGGCTATATATACTCAAGGTGTCAGCAGAGCTGGAACCTTCTGTTTTGGAGGCTCTAGGGGAGAATCTGCTTCCTTGCCTTTTCCAGGTTCTAGAGGCTGCCCGCTTTCCTTGGTTCACAGCCCCTACCTCCATCTTCAAAACCAGCAGCATAGCATCTTCACATCTTTCCCTGACTTATTCCGCCTTCCCCTACTTTAAAGGACCCTTATGCTTTAAAATGAGGCCCACCAGGAATAATCCATCTCTGTATCTTAAAGTCAGCTGATTAACAACCTTAATTTCACCTGCAACCTAAATTCTTCCTTGCCGTGTAATGAAATGTATTCACAGGTTGTAGGAATGAGGACGTGGACGTCTTTGAGGGGCCATTAATGTGCCTATCACAGCTACCCTCTTCCTTGGAATGCCTGGAAAGTGCGCCATATAGCCATCTGGCTAATCAGATCCCTAAATCATAATTCCTTCAGAAATATGTCCTTAGCTAGCTGGAAATGTGATGGTGATTGCTCCAGATGTAATTTCCTTAACACTCCCATCCCCAATAAACTTAATGATTTTACTTATTTGTTTTGTTTGTTTGCTTGTTTATTGTACAGACTTGCTTTCTTTGGCTGTTATTATCATTGTCTGACTGAGTCTATAAATTGTAAGGCTGATGCAGACAAGTAAAATAAATGTCACTGATAAGAAAACACTTCCAAATTCTAACTTAAATTGCCTTTGCTGAAATGTAATCATTTATTCCTATCCTCACTGTGGAAGTAACAGAAAGCAACTAGTCAATATCTACCGTAAAAACCTTTTAGATCTAGAGTCCTTCTAATGCCACAAACAAAAAAACCAACATGATATGTCAACCACCCGGCCAATCTAAGATAAAGGCCAGTTGGGCTGGTTTTTGAAGTGATGGAGTGATACAGTCAAACCCTCGGATAAATAACCATCCACCAACAGGACCTGTATGAGCCCTCCAGCTCTTCCTCCTTAGCCAACATACTTTTACTTGGTCCTTGCTTATTTCCTAAAGTTCTCCTAGTTCAGGTTGTCATCCCTTAGTTCTGATTCCTTCGAGACTCCTTTATGCAAGCTGAACTTGGACCCGAGCTTTTTTTACTCTCCAAATGGCAAAACCTTGTTCATCCTTCAAGACTCTTCTCACGTGAGCCCTTTCCCCACCAAGAATAATTAGCCATTCTCTTCTCTGTGTTCCCACCAGATGCACCTGGGATTCATGCCTTAAATACAACAGTTAACTTGGGGAAACTGAAGTTCTCTCTACATCAGTTTGGAACTTGAGCTTGGTCACCAGACTGTGAATCCCAAGAAGACAGCTGTTGTGTGTCACATTCATTGTTTATTCAGTGAGTCCGTCCTCTAAGATTTCTTCCTGCCTCTTTGTTTATTCCTTCTTCTGTTTTCAGATCAATTCCCCTTTACTAGAAGAATTCCAACTCAGTGTTGGAAATCTTCAACACTTGCTCCTTGGTCCTCTTCTCCTCCGTCCTCTTCACCATTCAGCCTGTACTCCTCTCCCAGTTAAATGTATCCCTTTCCTCAGTTTCAATGGCTAAGTTTATGCAAATTACTGCCAAGGTATAGCCCACCCAGAACTCTCCTCTGAATTAAGTCTTTGTCATCCATTGTCTTCTGAAGGTTTTAAAGGAACCTCAAACACTTACTCAGAACAAAACTCAGGAACATTCTCCCTGGGAATGAGAACTTTCAGTCACCTTCTCAGCACCCATTTTCCCCTTCCTTTAGCAGCAACTTCCAGACTTCCCTCAAGAACTTTACCCCTCCCACTCTTGGCCAACCTAGTCTCCGTGAGAATGACCCCACCTTCATGCACAACCAGGAGCAAGCAGTGATTAACCTAAACCAATCCACAAATCCCATCTCCCTAAGCAGTGTTTCTCCTGGCTGGTGGGCACATGATGCAATCAGAGCAAATGAGGCCCTGTGCTGCCTTAGCCAGGCTCCTGCAGAGAAAAGCCCCCTTCCCGTACTCTGTGGTCTGAGAATGTAGTGGTCCTGCTTCCCTAAGCAGCCAAAGGTACCCAAGAGAAGCAGAGCCTCCTCACACTGCTTGGCCCCTGAACAAGTCATGCCTAAAGCCAGTTGAGACTTTTTTTTCCCCTCCTTTCTGTTAGTCAACTAATCCCACTTTTGTTTAAGCCAGTTTGTGTTAGGTTTGTGAAGAACGTTAACTGATACTCCTTGCCCTACACCTGACCTTCCAGAGTCCCCCCAACTCAGTGAACAGCACCATCATCCATTCATCTAAGAAAGTCAGACACCTAGGAGTCTTTTCAAGTATTTCCTTGCCCCTCACTTGCCATAGCCAATCTATCACCAAGTCCTGTCAATGAGAGCCCCTGAATATATTTCAGATCTATTTCTTTCCATCTTTATTGCTCCAGCTATGTTTGCCTAGACTGCGACAGCCCATGAACTACTCTGCTCTCAGGTACCTTTGCCTTGCTTGGATCCATTTTCCACACCGCAGCCAAAGTGATCTCTTTTAAGTACGAAAGTCCCAATTCACCGCCCTGTTTAAAACAATCATCTTCCATTGCTTCTAAGACAAGACAAAATTCCAAGCTCCTTAACATGGTAATTCCATCTGGCTTCCCCCCAAACAGCAGAATACAAAAGCTCGCTTATGCTGTTTCATTTGGGAAGTGACTCCAGGGATCAGGAGTCATGGATTAGGGAGCATGGGCGAAACAGGGAAGGAGGAAATGGCTGAGCAAGCTGACCACCACCGCGAGCAAGCTGACCACCACCGCGAGCAACTGTGATCAATCCAATGGGAACTTCTGAGGGACTGTGGGGAATGCATTTCAAAAACTGTCCGCCAGAGATGAAAAGGAGAAGCATTCACCCACTGACTTTCATCCACCAATAACTGGGGGTTGCCTGGGGATGCAAACTCGCTGGCACTTGTGAGCTGCTCACATGTGACTACCAGTGGTCTCCAATGAAGGCCCCAGACCCGGGGACCAGAGAAGCCCAGGCACACTTGCAATGAGGTCAGCACAGACTTGGTGGGAGCTGATGGCACTGTCCACCATAGCCTTGCCTGAAATCAGACTGAGGCCCTAAGAGAATATAGTACAGGTGTCTGGTTCCAGGCACAGTCTGGCCTCTACCTGCCTTTCCAGCTTCCTCTTGACATCTTATTTCATTCCAACCATACTAGTCTTATGGCTCCTGGACTGCACATGTTCCCACCCACCACAGGGCCTTTGAACATATTGTTGCCTCTGACTGAAACGCTCCTTCCTTCCAACTTGTCTAGTTCCCTCTATTATTCATCAGCACTGAACTCAAGCATCCCTTCCCCTGAGTGTTAAAGCTACCATAAGGGGCATTCTCAGGATCATGTGCTTCTCCTCTGAGGCTCATATGAAAGTTGCAGTTGTCTACTTATGTGATTATTTCAAACTGTCTGACCCCCGCCCCCCGCTGGAGTATTCATAACCCAAGGAAACCTACAGAACCTCCAGCATTAGCGTGGTCTTTGGCATGTGTCAGGCACTCAATAAATCACAACTGAAAGGATAAACAAATTTATCTTTTTATTCCCACCAGTATCTGGGACAAATAGGTGCTCAAATATTTTTAACATAGTTAAATAATTAATGGAGCTAACACTTTAAAAAGAAATGTTACTTTCCGATGTAATTTATTTAGCTTTCACTGAACTGCATTCTATTCCTTAAAACCACTATAGGGAGGCTCTTCTGTGGGAAACCATTGGTTTTTTTAAGACAGACTTTTTTTTTAAAGTGTGTGATACCTGTAAACAGCAACCAGATTCCCCCAGAAAGAACATTGAGAAAAAGAGAAAAGAGAAATCATCAGTGTAGATAAGAAAGCTTCATTGTGAGCCAAGACAGGGATGCTACCTAAAACAAATGGGTATAGGTTATTGACCACAAGAAGAATAAAATTCATTGGTATGTGAAAACAAACTCCCCAGAACCACTCTGAGCTCTCCTTTTTAGCCAGCACCATCAATTATGATTATTAAGTGCCTGCTCAGCTTCTGTGCAGTGGAAGAGGCAGGGAGGTCTGGTAGCTAGGCAACAGCCTGGAAACTCAAAGGGTAGGAGTTGTGATGCTGGCTCCTTCATAAAAGTGATAAGTGGCCTTGGGTAAACTCCCCTGCCTTGTTTTCTTCATCTGAAAAACAGCATCACCAGTCTGTCTTTCTGCATTGAGGGAAGAAAAACAGAGCGAACAGAACACTGCAATTATAGGAAAGTGAGCTTATGGGGTCTGGGGAGTAAAGAACCCATCAGGGGACCAACTTTTCAACTGAAATCACCACTTTATTACAAATAGGTTGAGACTGAGTAATCTGTGTCTCAGTTTATCCATCTGATATGATTTATAGATAAGGGCCAAGTTCTGACTCAAAATACAAATTAAAATGTGGGTCTTTATTTCTATAAGACCTCTCCCTCAAAAAGTCCTCAGACTTTCTCAGCTACCCCTAAACTAAGCACCTCAAAAGC